GTGTCTGGTCATGAAATATTTATGCACACCCTGCCGAGCGATGATGAGCTTCACATAGCTTTTATTTTTCTTTATCTTTTAAAAAATCCCTCAGACAACGATGCCAGAGATCATAAAACAGTAACACGTTTAAAAGGTATTTTATTTATTTATATCTTTGACAGGTTTGCCTGCCAGGTTTTTCCCAGAGTGGCTTTTGGAAGGGTAATGCAGCTTTTCCAAACCTGGCACTCTGTCATGTTGTAGGTCCCAGAATGACCAGCATGGCTTTTCTCTACACTGGCTGGGAATTCTAGGAGCTGTATTGTCAACACACCTGGAAGTCAGGCAACATGGATAAGGCTGCCTAAAACCAACATCGATTGTCCTAGAAGCTGCTGAAACATTACTGTTCATAGCAATGAACAGGACAAATGGGAATAAGAAAATCACTTCTGGCTCTAGATACTTCGCTGATCTCAGTCAGAACTAAATTTGTGGGGCCCATTCATTGTTCTGGTTGGAGATGGGGAAGGCAACTGTGTTCCCTCCATACCTTTTCTGGCTACAGTTCTGCTTCTCCCCTACCTTTCAGTGCCAGGCGTCTGCAAGAGTCAGGCTCCAATCCATCAGCAATTCAAATCTGGGAAAGGGGGTTGACAGGCCCTAAACAGTGCATAGACATATTTGGGTAATATTGAAAAACCAAAGAGAGTTGAATCTGCTTAGCATCTGGATGAAAAACCAAGGCTGGGTTAGCCAAACTGGGAAGTTGAAAAAATATGGCTGAAGATGACAATGGAACAACAATTCGCTATGATTGCCAAGAATACGACATAGATTTGTCTAAGGTCCCTGCAGCTGACCTTGACCCAAAGGAGATTTTATCTTACTAAACAGATACATCGCTCAGAACAAGCAGATACTGTATTTCAGAAGAGCAACTGTACACGTTAACATATGAGCTTGCCCACCCAGTGGCATAGCCTCCAAAATACCTAACGCTAGAGATCTCCAGACCCTGTGGAGTGGTGCCCATTCACTGGAGTGCATGAAGGAAACTCCTTTCAGACTCAAAAAACATCAAGGCAACCCTGTTGAATCAGACCAAAAGCCAATCTAGTCCAACTTCTCAAGCAGAATATACACTGGAGACCCCTCTGGATAAGGGCCATCTGAGTGATGGTTTTCTGAAAGAGAATTTGCTGCTCAGTAGGTATATTGAGCAACAGGCATAACACTATATCCCTGTAATATAATCGTGGGGCTCACACCTTGTATGCAGAAAAAGTAGGGTGTATTGGAAAGTTTCTGATTAATAGCCGTCCATGTGCAGATTTCTAGTCCAATGCTCTTTCTTGCATTTTTGCACACGTTTCAACTATTGTTCCTCTATGTGTGTGCGCATGTCTGCACGTGTGTATATTTATATTCAGTCCTTTCCTCTCACCAACCTTTTGGGTAAGTAGTTATCATAGATGGCCTGTCCTGTCATTCTCCTCTTGTTGCTCTTCTCCTTCTCTAATAAATTTCACAACTGGATCTCCTCCAAGAACCTGAACTAATCACTTTCACAAACCTTGTTTCCTTTCACAAAGCTCGCAGAAACCTGTGGCTTAATAATTTTTCCTTACAGAAGCAACATGACTTTTCCTTAAAAGAATTTCACAGGTGCAACTATTAGTATTGCAGTTTGAAAATACATTGTACTCAGTAGAACCGAGGAGCCATGACTGCCAGAAAGACCCATTATAGAAGCAATGTGGTGGTGGTGGGAGCCAGCATGCTGGGGGGAATTCTGGAAGTTGAAGTCCACACATCTTAAAGTTACTGAGATTGAGAAACATTGGGCTAGAGGCTACCACAGCACAGATCATTTTGGTTAAGCTCTTGCTACACCAGGAGGGGGCGCAACTTACACCCTACTGCTGTCCAGCGGAAGGCTTTTCGTATCAAAACAAAGGAAGGAAAGCGCATAGAGCAAGCTTTGGGAATTATTTCCAACTCTTTTACCAGCAGTGACAATAGGAGGCATATATATATTTTTTCCTGTGTAACAAAGTAATGTGGTCTATGTGTACGTGGGTGTGTTTTTGCTCTTCCCTCATATTGCTCGATTTATATCTGTATGCATGTACAGTATATCCAGGAAAGGCTGCACGTGTCCCACCCTGGGATGTGTGACCAGGGGAGGAACAAGAGGGGGCTTCGAATGGATAAGTTGTCAGCATTTCAAATTGCTGGCCATCTCCCTCTACCCTGGGGATGCATTGGGGAATTTTTTTTCCTGCATTTTTTCTCCCTCATCCCCTGGCCAAACCCAATCCGTTTTCAAACTCAATTTTTTTTTGGTCATCTTCTCCCCCTTCACACCAAATTTGGCCCCATTCTGTTTCATTTCCAAATGGACAGAGTCCCAAGCCCTTTTAGGTAATTTCTTTCCAAGATTTTGTTGGGTTGGAAAGAATAGTAAGACACCCACACCTCTGCAGCAATACATAGCTAGCCATTGCAAAAAGGACCGCTCTGTATGTAGTCATTTTAATGTCATTTTAATGTAAGAATGATGGACATACGGAGGGTTTTCAAAGGGCTGGAAAAACCACATCACACAAAGAATAGCAAAAACAAGAGCAAGCCTGAGACAGACCACAGATAAAAGAAACAGAACAAGATGACCATCAAAGCCAGTAGCCACATAATGTCCACTGAGCTGAGAAAGTGATAAGATAAAATGTCAATAAGGCTTGGCTCTGTTCAGATGTTACTTTTGTGTATTCAGTCCAGACTGCGCGAGTGAAGAACGGCCCCGCTCCTTCCTACTTGTGTTGATGAGGTAAGTGAAGAAGACAGTCTTCATGTTTACAGTGTGATTGCCTGCAGTAGTTAGCATTTGAGTACACACCAATGTTTCCGTGTGAGCTGGAAGTCACTCCATGTTGGGTGCTTGTAGATATGCTGGTTAGGTCATGGGCAAGCAATATTAGGACTAATGAAAAATCAATGCTTCCATTGGCACAGCTTGAACATTATGCTACCAAAGATGATGGTTCCTTTGAGAAGATGATTCTAGGAGATGTCAAGCCAGAGCCCTATAAAAGCTGTAGTTTGAGAGAGAAAGAGGCAGCCATGGGACAAGCTTATCTTCTCCTTCCTCCTTCCCATTCACTTTGGGCTAGGGCAGTGTTGTCCAAACTTGGCCACTTTAAGATGAGTGGACTTCATGCTGGCTGGGGA